TGTTTTGAAGAATTTTTGGTGGTATGATAAAATGATAATTATAAATGAAGAAGGATTTAAAACCATTCATGTAACATGATCTCAATTATAGACACTGCAAATAAATATCTATGGAACAAATACCTCCATAAGATTATGAAGACATGTCCTAAATATTGTGTTTAACAATATTTTCAGCATTGTGCAAATTGCCTATATCCAATGAGCATGCCTTAATTCCACAAAAAAGTAAAATTAAATATGAAACCGTTAAACGTCTATTGCAACCCTATGATTTGAAGGGAAAAACAGGCTAAGAACCTAGACTAGGCCACTGGGCAGAGGAAAAAGATAATTCTGAAGTTGAGTCCTCAGTATATGGTGACCCAGTAGAGAAGCAAGACAGGGCATAAGCTTTAAGCTGTCCAGCTTGAGCACAGAGATGAATGATGGTGTTATGAACCACAACAGGAAATGTAGGAAGACAGGAAGAAGAATCGGGTAAGAAGAAGGAAAATACATTTTGTTTGGCCTTGTTGAGTCTGCAGTGCCCAAAGAGTGTCCAGGCAGAGATGCCCAGTCAAGAGCTGGTGATATGCAAAGCTAAAACTTGGGGAAAGAAGCTGCAGTAAATGTATGAGGGTGGGCACGACAGTGAGTCCTCTAAGGCACACGCTTCCCCTAAGATGCCCAAGGTTCTACGTGTTCTACAAATAAGTAACAGACTCTGCTCTGATGGAGACTCAGACCCTTGGGTTCAGGGCTCTATTCATTCCGCCCCTAAATGTGACCTGAAGTGGCCCCTGCCTCCCTCAGCCATAGGGACTGCTGCTCAATTATAGTGAAGAATCTCTCATAGACTTTCTGTGACTTAAATGCTATTCGGTGCTGTGGCTGCTGTTTCATCGAAGATTACAGGGCTTTCAGAGTTAACCACACAAAACTTGCTGTTATATATTTGGTAGGGATGGTTTCAAGACAACACTCCCTCTCTCACCCGGTAACCTCCTTTTGGAACGACACATAGGGAAACCATCTTGGGTTTCAAGACCAGGAAAGAGAGAGCATCTAGCCACCAGGAATGCTATAACTGATCCTACTTCCCTCTTTGATGTGGCCAACAGGAAGCTCAGAAAAAAATCTGTGGCCCGTCTTCAGCAGCCTTGTAGTATCACATAGCGCACATTTTAGGGTGTTAATATTAACATGTCTATCTTTATTGCTGTACTGCCCTTATTTTCTCTCTGTCTCAAGTTCTTCAACTATGAATTTTTGCCAACTACTTCAAGTTAAAAATGTTCTCCATGTCGTGACCACCCATCCTGTTTGTTCCTAACTCTTGAAGTTACACAAAATAATTCTAGTCTATCTTCTCCACACCAGCCCTTCAGCACTCATGTCATCCACCCAATCTTATTTTTATAGGCACCAGAGCCCCACTTTCTTTAACAATGGTTCATAGCTGTGAGCCCTTAAAGAATCTTTCATCCGTCTAGACTTGACAGATGCCTTATCTTCTCTTGATCTCTTCCTTAAAGCCCCTACTCAGGGTATTCCTCCACTGCAATGCAGCAACCATTTTTTTTTTTTTTTTTTTTTTTTGAGACAGAGTCTTGCTCTGTTGCTAGGCTGGAGGGCAGTGCGATCTCAGCTCACTGCAACCTCCGCCTCCCGGGTTCAAGTAGTTCTTCTGCCTCGGCCTCCCAAGTAGCTGGAACTACAGGCGCACACTGCCACACCCAGCTAATTTTTTTTTTTTTTTTTTTTTTTTTTTTTTTTTGTAGATACAGGGTTTCACTCTGTTACAAAGGCTGGTTTCAAACTCCTGAGCTCAGGCAATCCACCCTCCTCAACCTCCCAAAATGCTAGGATTGCAGATGGGAGCACAGCAACCAGTTTTAATAGCTGGTTTTCATGCTTGCACCACCTCCCCCCACCCCGCATGGGCCTGGGGACTCTGGAAAGTCAGGAACCATGTGCCCTCTTTGCCTCCAGCTAGTACGCAGCCAGGGCCTGGGGCATAATACATGCATAATAAATGTTTGTTGAAGAAGTGAATAAATGAATGAGCACATACTTGTATACAGTATACACAACTTCCTCGCTCATACATGTTAAAGAGAGCTAAAGCCCCCCAGGATGGGAGAAGAGAGAGGGCCTGCTCGGCTCAGTTGTTCGTGGGCTTTCCATCTGACAACTCTTTTTCCATGGTCTCTCCTGAAAAGCCTCAAAGCCTCAGGCACCTGGGCGGGAGCTTATTTCACAGCTAAATCCAGAGTAAATATACACAAGACAGAATTGGTCCTATGAGGACAACTGGGGTGAATTTCCACAGAAAGAAAGGATTTCACTGATCAGAAATGCAAGATGCTAGATGCTCCAATTGGTACTTATTCTAACAACACTCTCTTCTATACATGTTAATTACATGCCAGGCATTGTTCTGAGCTTTTTACAAACATCTTATTTCTCATAACAATCTCACGAGATAGGCACTATTTTTATCCCTATTTTATTTTCATATGATCCTCTTAACATTTGAGGCAGCTGTCCTAAAACGAAGAAAGGTAGAGTGTTTCTGTCTCCGAATGAAAGAAAATGAGCTACATTAGGTCCAATGTACAAATGGCTGAAGATTGAACGCCAGCCTTTGATCTGAGGTCTGGATCCAGCAGGACACCTCACCGCTCCCTAACATTTGTTGAGCAACCACCACTATTGTGCCCAGTGCTATTGTCCACGAGTTCACAGACAGGTGGAGGAAGCACACACCCGGACAAATAAATCACCCAGCTGCAGGGCAAGTACATCAGGACCAGGGAGGCAGCACAGGGCTGAGAGCAAGGACTAATTATCTCTGACTAGATGACAAGACTTCTTGGAGACCGTGAAGTTTCCATTCTATTTTAATGAATGGAGCAGCAGAAACACAGCAGGAGGTGAGGTGCAAAGATCCCGGCATCCAAAAGGGCATTTGGGAACTGTTGGTAGCAGGAGTTGGAAAAGAGGAGGAGGTAGGGGATGAGGGATCATCATTCAGGTGATGGCCTTGGCTGCAATACCAAGAAGCTGAAAGTCACTAACGGGTATAGTCATTTCTGTTCTAGACTCTTTGAGCACCTGTGTGCAGGAGGACGGAGAGGCCAAAGAGAGAAGGACCAGTTAGGGGCTGCTGCAATAAACCAGGCAAGATACAGAGGCACAGGAACTAAGGCGCAGGATTCTAGGGATGCTTAGGAAGCACGAAGCTTTGGACTAATCGAGAGGTTGGCACAGCAGTGCGAGGTGACACCCCGGCTTCCGACTTAGACAGTCAGGAGGGTACCCAGTGAAATCGAAAGGCTAGGTTGGAAGCAGGCTTCCAGGAGCAAGGGCAAGCTGAGACCCTCTATAAGCTCGGAAAAGCCGAACAGGGCAGCAGAAATGTTCTTCATTATCTCAGAAAAGTTATTCAAATTCTTGCTCATATCTCCATTTAATAAAATACGATGCATTTCATTCTGTCCTCATGGTGAAAAATCATTGCCCTTTGCTGAGAATTAATAACCTTTTGAATTAATACCCTTTGGGTAGGAAAACTGGTTTCATTAACACCTCCCCTTGGACTTTGTAACTTCATCTCTTGGTCCTGCTGTCCCCTGAAACCAAAAGCCCAAGACTTATTATTCAAGAAGTCTGAATGATTTTGTGCTCAGAAAGAAAGATCGGGGTCCTTAGTAATTGGGCTGAATTGAGTTCACGCACCAAAAATGCCAGAGTGGCCTTGTGTCAGCCCCTCAGCCACAGGAGAGCCCACCTTCTATCAGAAGGAAGGGATGAGAGCTTCCTCTCTCAGCTCTTGGCCTGATCCTTAATCTTGGCAGAAAAGATGCGCCCATCTTGACATGCCACCCCATGGAAATGCGCCACCGCCTCAGGCTCTGCCGGGCATCTTTGCAGAGTTGTCTGTCTCTCGTCCAGCACTACAGACAGGACAGCTGTTGGGCTGCCTGACAGAGTTGGATGACCACCCACCCCCACTCCAAAGTGGGTCATGGTGAGCCTCCCCCAGAACAGAGGGTGTAAGACCCTTCAAACAATCTTCCCCTCCTTTTCTACCTCCCACGGCCTTGGAAAGCCTCCGAATGGATATTCTCTAATGCTTTAGCAGCAGCCTGGCATCTGGAGCAGTAAGCCCAGAAGACCCTTCAGCATCCCGGGGCCCTCCATGCACTGGCCTGCCTGGCCTTGTCTCCTGCCTCTTTATGTAAGCGAGGTTGCATGCCTCTGAGCCTTGACTCGTGTTGCTCCCTCAGCCATCCCTCACCCCCACAACAACACACACACACACACACACGCACACGCACACACTCAATCATCCTGCAAGGCCAGGGTCAACATCTCATTCCCTGAAAAGCCCTCCCTGAATGCCACACCCTCCCTCAGGCAGCATCCACGACTCCCTTTGTGATTCCCCCAATCCCGCCCCACCCTCAACTCTGTACCTTGTCCCTGCAAGGCTTACCTGATATAATGTGTCTGCAAGTGAGGACAAGTTGAGTCACAGGAGCTAATAAATAGTGTCATCCAATTAAGACACTCTATTCACTGTCTCCCTACGTAGGGATGCAGGGATGAAATTGGAGACAGCGAGATCTGGGTTCAAATCTCCTCTCTCTCAGTTTTTGGCAGTGTGATTTGGGGTGAGGTACTTGTCCACCAAGCCTCCAAAACTGCTTTACCTGTATTCCTTCTGACCTGGAGGGAGACTCTAGTGCCTGATTGGCTGGTCACTGGGATGACAAGATAGAGGATCTCATGGTCTCCACCTCTGTGTTGGGTCCTCCTAGGCCATCCTCCATCACTTGGCCATTCCACTGGAAACAGTCTTTGGGACTCCCCAGATCTGTGGCTCACTCTCATCTCCAGCGTCTCCCAGTAACCCCGCTGGCTTACGCTTGCAGAAGCAGCCTTTGAGAAGACAGAGGGCTGCACGTGGACCAGATGCCAAGCCAAGCACTGTCCCCGATCTTATATTCCAGAGCCAGTTGGAAGAACTCGAGCTGTTGAAACAAACAGAACACTGCATGAGACAAAGACCAGATTCCTGCTCTTTCGAGAAACCAGTCGGGGCTGTCAGATTCAAATCAATCGTCTGGACAGGTTACAGGAGTGCGGCTTCAACTCCTCCCTGCCTCTGGTGATGATAATCCACGGGTGGTCGGTAGGAAATGCTGACATGCCTTTTTTCTCTCTGCTTTCACATTTTCTTTTCTTCTTTCTAGTGCGTTCAATGTTCATAAAAAGATAGGGAGCTGGTGATAACTCCATGCATAATGTTTATAAAACGCATTCTAATTTTCCAAGTGCTTCCCCATGCATTATGTCATTGATTATCTCAATTCCATGAGAAAGCAGGGTGAGAAAATAGAATTATCTCCATGTTTCAGACAGAATGTGGCTCAAAGAGGCCACAGCTCATTAGGACCCACAAGGGATTGTAGTCCGTGTAGGAGGAAGCCTCCCTCCTGAATCTCCATGTTACATGGCGGGACCTAGGAAGCCGGAAGAATGGACTCCCAATGAAATGCAGTATCACTAAGGTTTAAGTTCTACTGCAAATAACAGAGATTCAAATTAGCTGTGGTTCAAATAAAACAGAAATTTATTTTCATTTTGCAAAATATTCCAAAGATATATGTATCCGAAAAACTGGCTAGACAGCTTCGGTCAACAAAGTTCTCCAGGCAATGCCTCCTTCCAGCTCACTGCTCTGCTATCTTGGGATGTGACCCTCATCCTCATAGTCCAAGATGGCAGCTGGAGCACTAGCCATCACATCTTTACTCCAGGAAGCACAATGTAGTAAAAGATGTATGCAAACAGGTCAAAAGCAAGGTTTTTACAAAGAGCCTTATTGAGATATAATTTACAAAGCATACACGTACAATTCAATGGCTTTTGGTATAAAAGAGTGTTTTTTAGGTATCCCAGAGCCTCTGTGAAAATCTCCCAGTTATACCCATTGACCATACCTAAGTGGAAAGGTGGCTGAAAAGTATAGGCTCTTAAAGAAAATATAGCCTTTTAGTGATACTAAAATTTATACTACCATGGAAGAAGGAGAGGAAGGCTATTGTCGGCAAGGGGTGAAGTCACACTCTGTGAGGACTTGTCTCCAAGAGGAAATCCTGCCTCCCCAGTTTCCAGCCCACCCATGATTTCAAGCATGGTTCACAGTTTGAACCCTCCAGAGAGGTGGGTGTCTATTTCATGACTTAGAAACCTTTCCCTGCCATATATTTGGAAAGTACTCTGGAAACCCCCATCTCATCCACCTTGGAGAGTAAAAGGAGCCCTTCCATCACCTGCCTCCCTCACCTCCCCCTGCCTCCCTCACCTCCCCCTGCCTCCTTCACCTCCCCCTGCCTCCCTCACCTCCCCCTGCCTCCCACATGATGTTCCAGCAACATCCAACTGCTTAGATTAATGGCTTCCTCCATACCATGTGCCTGTCTTCTCTCTCCTTGGTCTTGGCTCAGTCTGACCCTCTGCCTAGAGTCGTCTTTCTCCTCTTTTCCTGATTAACTCCCACTTTTCCTGTAAGACACAACCCCAAACAGGTCCTCCTGCAAGCCATTGCTGCCATCACCCTAGCACTCCTGCGGGGACTTGGAGCATCACCGGGAGGCCCCTGCGGCCCTGAGCACTCTCCAGCTCTGCTCCGCAGCTCGGCTTTCTAATTGTCTGCGTTTCTCTGCTCCGCGAGGCTGCAAGCTTCTTCCTGGGAAGGACTCTGTCCTCTTCCTGTCTGATTGACCACTGAGGGCCGGTATCCACCATGTAGTCAGTGCTCCAAAACGTTTGCCAACTGAATTAAAGATCAAATGAATCAGTCTTGTTCATAAATGCAAGATGAAGACCAGATGAGCCTCTTAACAGGATCCTCTTACCAAAATACACTCTTCATCATCAAAATTCTGTCCAACCCACTAGATGTCTCCTCCTCCTGGTACTACTACTATTAGTAACAACAATGGCTTCAGCAACTACCCTTTCCTCAGGCTTTACTGTATTCCAGACACTGTTCTAAGCACTTTACATCCCATCGTCTAGCCCTCACCTCAGGCTGCCTAGTCCTCACCAACTATTGACTAGTCCTCACCCACTATTGTCTAGTCCTCACCCCCTACTGATTAGCCCAAACCTCCTATTGTCTAGTCCTCCCCTCCTATTATATATTTCTCACCCCCTATTGCCCAGCTCCCACCCCCGATTGTCTAGTCCTCCCTTCCTATAGTCTAGTTCTCCCCTCCTATTGTATAGTTTTCATCGCCTATTGTCTAGTTCTCCCCTCTGATTGTCTAGTTCTCCCCACTTATTGCCTAGTTCTCACCCCCGATTGTCTAGTTCTCCACTGCTATGGTCTAGTTCTCCCCTCCTGTTGTCTAGTTCTCCCCTCCTATTGTCCAGTTCTCACCCACTATTGTCTAGTTCTCACCTCCTACTGTCTATTTCTCCCCTCTTATTATCTACCTCTCACCCACGATTGTCTAATTCTCACCCACGATTGTCTTGTTCTCCGCTTCTGTTGTCTAGTTCTCACTCCTGATAGTCTAGTTCTCCCCTTCTATTGTCTAGTCCTCCCCTCCTATTGTCTAGTCCTCACCTCTTATTGTCTAGTCCTCCCATCCTATTGTCCAGTTCTCACCCACTATTGTCTAGTTCTCACCTCCTGTTGTCTAGTTCTCCCCTCCTATTGTCTAGTTCTCCCCTCCTATTTTCTAGTTCTCACCTCCTATTTTCTAGTTCTCCCCTCCTTTTGTCTAGTTCTCCAATCCTATTGTCTATTTCTCCCCTCCTATGGTCTAGTTCTCCCCTCCTATTGTCTAGTCCTCCCCTCCTATTGTCTAGTCCTCACATCCTATTGTCTAGTTCTCCACTCCTATTGTCTAGTTCTCCCCTCCTGTTGTCTAGTTCTCCCCTCCTATGGTCTAGTTCTCCCCTCCTATTGTCTAGTTCTCCCCTCCTATTGTCTAGTTCTCACCCCTATTGTCTAGTTCTCCCCTCCTATTGTCTATTCTCACCCACTATTGTCTAGTTCTCCGCTCCTATTGTTTAGTTCTCACCCCCTATTGTCTAGTTCTCCAATCCTATTGTCTATTTCTCCCCTCCTATTGTCTAGTTCTCCCCTCCTATTGTCTATTTCTCCCCTCCTATTGTCTAGTTCTCCCCTCCTATTGTCTAGTCCTCCCCTCCTATTGTCTAGTTCTCCCATCCTATTGTCTAGTAGTCCCCTCCTATTGTCTAGTCCTCACCTCCTATTGTCTAGTTTTCCCCTCCGATTGTGTAGTTCTCACCCCCTATTGTGTAGTTCTCCCCTCCTATTGTCTATTTCTCCCCTCCTAATGTCTAGTTCACCCCTCCGATTGTCTAGTTCTCCCCTCCTATTGTCTAGTTCTCCCCTCCTATTGTCTATTCTCACCCACTATTGTCTAGTTCTCCCCTCCTATTGTCTAGTCCTCCTCTCCTATGGTCTAGTACTCACCTTTTATTGTCTATTCCTCACATCCTATTGTCTAGTTCTCCACTCCTATTGTCTAGTTATCCACTCCTATTGTCTAGTCCTCACCTCCTATTGTCTAGTTCTCCCATCCTTTTGTCTAGTAGTCCCCTCCTATTGTCTAGTCCTCACCTCCTATTGTCTAGTTTTCCCCTCCGATTGTGTAGTTCTCACCCCCTATTGTGTAGTTCTCCCCTCCTATTGTCTAGTTCTCCCCTCCTGTTGTCTAGTTCTCCCCTCCTATTGTCTAGCTCTCCCATCCTATTGTCTAGTTCTCCCCTCCTATTGTCTAGTTCTCACCCCTATTGTCTAGTTCTCCCCTCCTATTGTCTAGTTCTCACCCACTATAGTCTACTTCTCGGCTCCAATTGTCTACTTCTCCCCTCCTATTGTCTAGTTCTCACCTCCTATTGTCTAGTTCTCCCCTCTTATTGTCTACCTCTCACCCACGATTGTCTAGCTCTCACCCACAATTGTCTAGTTCTCACTCCCGATTGGCTTGTTCTCTGCTTCTATTGTCTAGTTCTCACCCCCAATTGTTTAGTTCTCCCTTTCTATTGTCTAGTCCTCCCCTCCTATTGTCTAGTCTTCAACTCTTGTTGTCTATTCCTCCAATCCTATTGTCTAGTTCTCCACTCCTATTGTCTAGTCCTCACCTCCTATTGTCTAGTTCTCCCCTCCTATTGTCTAGTTCTCCCCTCCTATTGTCTAGTTCTCACCCCTATTGTTTAGTCCACCCCTCCTATTGTCTAGTTCTCCCCTCCCATTGTCTAGTTCTCCCCTCCTATTGTCTATTTCTCCAATCCTATTGTCTATTTCTCCCCACCTATTGTCTAGTTCTCCCCTACTATTGTCTAGTCCTCCCCTCCTATTGTCTAGTCCTTACCTCTTATTGTCTAGTCCTCCCATCCTATTGTCTAGTTCTCCCCTCCTATTGTCTAGTCCTCACCTCCTATTGTCTAGTTCTCCCCTCCTATTGTCTAGTCCTCACCTCCTATTGTCTAGTTCTCACCTCCTATTGTTTAGTCCACCCCTCCTATTGTCTAGTTCTCCCCTCCCATTGTCTAGTTCTCACCTCCTATTGTCTAGTTCTTTCCTCCTATTGTCCAGTTCTCACCCACTATTGTCTAGTTCTCACCTCCTACTGTCTATTTCTCCCCTCTTATTATCTACCTCTCACCCACTATTGTCTAATTCTCACCCACGATTGTCTAGTTCTCACCCCCAATTGTCTTGTTCTCCGCTTCTGTTGTCTAGTTCTCATTCCTTATAGTCTAGTTCTCCCCTTCTATTGTCTAGTTCTCCCCTCCTATTGTCTAGTTCTCACCTGTGATTGTCTAGCTCTCCCCTCCTATTTTCTAGTTCTTCACTCCTATTATCTAGTTCTCCCCTCCTATTGTCTAGTCCTCACCTCCTATTGTCTAGTCCTCACCTCCTATTGTTTAGTCCACCCCTCCTATTGTCTAGTTCTCCCCTCCCATTGTCTAGTTCTCACCTCCTATTGTCTAGTTCTTTCCTCCTATTGACTAGTTCTCCCCTTCTATTGTCTATTTCTCCAATCCTATTGTCTATTTCTCCCCACCTATTGTCTAATTCTCCCCTCGTATTGTCTAGTCCTCCCCTCCTATTGTCTAGTCCTCACCTTATTGTCTAGTCCTCCC